AGCAGGGATCCTTGGAAAAATCCGATTTTACAGTTGCACCAAGAAATATGTAAGTTGAGACTGGTGCATCTTATAATGTCAGAAAGCTAGGAAGCAGCTCAAACAAAAACCACAAAAACTCATGATGATGACAGGGTTATGTCAATGAGATACAGGAGTCACCTGAAGGAGCTCCCACTGGCCAAAGCTGGAAAAATCTGAACACAAATCAAGTAGTGTTGGATCTCAACCAAACTAGAAGATAAATATCCATGAGTCTTTATCAATATAAATAAATGAATAAATAAGTAAATAGGGAAGAACAGACAAATCTGTGTAGAATTCTAAAACGGATGCAGATATTGCTTTCTCTGGGAGGTAGAACACAACTTCCTCCCCATTAAGTAACTTTCCTCAAAAAGCAGTGTGCAAGAGGTAACCTGACACACAGTATCTTAGCTAGGTGGTAATGGTTCATATCAATGGGGATAACTCATACTGATAATATGCAGCCTTGATATGATGGTACTCTGTTTCTTCTTCCCAAAAACCCATAACCCAGATCTAATCATAACAACAACATCAGACAAATCCCAATTGAGGGACATTCTATAAAACATCTGACCAGTACTCCTCAAAACTGTCAAGGTCATCAAAAACAAGGAAAGTCTAAAAAACTGTCACAGCCAAGAGGAGTCTAAGAAGACATGACGACTAAATGTAATGTGGTATCCTGGATGGGATCCTGGAATAGAAAAGGACATTTGGTAAAAACTAAGGAAATCTTAACAAAGTATGGACTTTAGTTAATAACAAGGAATCAATATTGACTGTGACAAATGTACCATACTATATGTTAGTAACAGTGGAAATTGGGTGTGGGGTATATGAAAAGACTTCACAATTATTCCATAAATCTAAATCTATTCCAAAATAAAAATTCTAATTGAAAAATAATAAATTAGGTTAAACTAACTTCAATATTGAACATTCTTACTTAAAAGAACACTAACCAGCCACTGGTTATCATTTTTCATCAAATCCTTATAGGAAAAACAAGGACAGCTATGGGTCAGACATTAAGAAAATCTAAGTTGGTGTATTTGATAAAATAACAGTAATAAAAAAGTATAGATAAAAAGGACTGAAGGCAAATAGGAAGATTTATTTAAGTATCAAGGGTCTGCTTCTAGACATGATCTTTTTATGGTTATAACTGAGGACCCAGATTGTAAAAGGATGGCCTTATTCAATAAGATCTACTAATGAAAGAAAAATGAGAAGGTCAAAAACCTTGAATAATACAGGATTTAAAGGATCTTGACAAATTAAGGAGAAAGAATGGATGGAACACAGTGAAATTAAATGAAAAAATATAATTTAAAAATATTCTTTGTTTAAAAAATTATGTGTGATTTTAGTAACTTCACTGAGTTGTGAGAATGATATGGGTACTTAAAAAGGTAATGTCATCTTAGGTCATACTAAAGTAGAAATTGTTAAGATGAAGAGGATGAAGGGATCACTGATTAAAGCTCACTGAATCATATTTAGGATAAAGATTAAGTGTTGAGAATTACATATTAAAAAGAACAAGAACATATATAAAATGCACTTGAACATAAGGAATCATGATTATAGATTTAAAATCATGCCACACCAGAGTGTTTTCAGTCTACATTTAAAAAGACTAAGTACAAATATGACGGTATTTTTAAAAAAATTTCAATTGCTCTGGAGTAAAAGAGGGATTTATACTTTATCTGCAACAGTTTTAGGAATAACACTCGATCCAACAGATGGAACTCTACAAATGTAGTTTTTACAATGAGGATTTTCTAACAGCAGGCTAAGAACAGACTGAACTACATAGTTACCATTCTCTAGGAGTATTAATATAATTTTGTTTTTCAGTGATGTTTCAGGGAGAGTTAAAACTGGGTGACAACTGAGTATTAAGTGCCTTTCCAATCCAGAGATTATGACTAAAGGCACAAATAATATGTTAACAAAGCATAAACATCCCTTGACATTCAAAGCCATCTACTTATGTTGGTTTAATTTCTAGAATTACTTTATTCTAGGATGCTAAAACCTTAAAGTTAAACCAGCATTTTAGTTCTGTCTACCCTCAGTCTTTCAAATGAAAGAGAATTCTTTTGGTTTAGATAGGATTTAGCTGGGCATGGTGGCACACGTCTGTTATCCCTGTACTAGGGATAACCGTAAGACAGGATTACTACGAGTTTGAGGCCAGTCTGGGCTACATAGTGAGTTTAAGGCCAGGCTGAACTACATAGAGAGAATGTTTCCAAAAAACAAAAACAAAACAAAAAACTCAAAATAATGGATAGGATTTAGTAGGTCCAAATTTAATAAATTAAAACAAAACCACCAAAGCAATTCACGATGGATTATCTAGTGTTCAAATGCTACATCAAAACTTCATTATAAATTAATGAGTATAGTCTTTAAAAAGTACATTCATTATTCTGAAATGTTACTTACTTTGCAAACTTGATATAGATTAGATTAAGCTAAATCAAGGGGCTAGATACAGAACATGTGTCTCATCTTTGAGCCCCCTAATTCGAAAATGTAAACAAACTAGTATGTAGGCACAAAATGTTAATTCTCTCAATTTTTTCAAAGAAGTAAATAAACATATTCTTTTGGTTCATATGATTATGTAACAAAGAAACACTATAAATAACAGAAGACCAAGTAAAAATTATGGCTACAAATTATCTCAAATAACATAACATCTCTGGCTGGTTCATAAGCCGTAACCAGCATCTGGCTACTACAATCAGTCTGCTTTGCAGAAACTCTTCCTGGCTGCAGAGCCCAACTTATTCCAGTGGTTATATGACATAAAGATTAAAAACAAAAACAAAAACAAACAAACAAAAACAACAGTTAAAAAAATGGGCAAACATCTGTTACAGGTACAGTGTTAGGCACATTCAAACAAGTAAGGAAAATTGAGTACACAGTCTTTTAAAATAAAGTTTAAATCTCTGACAAGGTAAAGGCTCCTTTTTCCTGCACTTACATAGTATATGAGTTTGACAAAATGATATTTAGAAGTTGGCAACAGAAGAAAGCAGCTAATTCTCTACTTAGGTCAATTTTACTACGCTAGGTACAACAGGACATTAATACTAGATGGTAGAGGTTTCAGATCTGACTTTAATTCCTGGCTCTGTCTTCCATCACTAGTAATGTGATATAGAAAAATTGTGGGGTTTTTGTTTGTTTTGTTTTGTTGTGGTATTGGGGATTGAACCCATGGCCTTAACACTAAGCTACATCCCCAAGCATTCTTAATTTTTTCTTTTTTTATTTTGAGACAGGGTCTTGCTACATCACTGAGTTGCCCAGGCTGTACTTCTGTTCCTTTTATCTCAGCATTCCAGATTGCTAGGAACACAATGATGTGTCACCACACCAAGCAAGACTAATATTTTAAAGCCTCCATTTTCTCATCCATAAAACAGGGAAAAGGAACAATAAAGATCCTACCTTTACCATAGGATCACTGTGAAGGTTAAATTAAACCATGAACATAAAAGCATTTTCCAAACTCTAAAAAAAATGATAAAACTAGGTATTACTACTAATGTGTCACATCCAATGCTTCTAAAAGTTGAGAAGATTAGAAAGCATCGTTTGATGCTAGAAAGGAATCATATTGGTGCTCATCTGTTAGGCATAAACTTACTATGTAAAAGGCAAAAAATCTAAGATTTTCAACTTTTAAATTTATTATCATTAGTGTTTTTAAATGATATATTTTCTTTTCTCTTTTTTTTTAGTTTTCTTTTGATTTATTTATTTATTAAATGATGATACATTTTCCATTTCTCTAAGGTCCTGAGAGAACTACTGATAATCTGTGGATATTCATGAAGAAAGGGGATACTAAAAATAAACTTCTTGTGAGAACTAAGAAACAGCTAACACTGATAGAATTATCAGGAAAGCATGGGAAAAATGAGAAGAAAGGATGGAACAAGTGGCCTGGAGAGAAGTTCAAGGATGAGTTTGGAAAGCTTTTGGTAATTATCACAGTTCCAGAGGAGCGCCTAAGAAACTGGCTTAACACCTCCCTCATATGGCCTTCATTACTGGTGTCATACAGCAAAATCACCTAGAGTTTGCCATCAGTCAACAAGAAAAGCAGCAATAAACAATGGAAGGAGCAGAGAGTAAGTAAATATATCTTTTTCTATTGGAAATATTAATTTTTTCTTATTTATTTCTCCATTTAAGTATTAGGGAAAAGGTTAAGATGAAATCTGGGCACACTTTGCAAAATAATCTCAAGAAATGCACATAGGAGACAACTGTGATTTTCTTCACAATGTACACAATTTAAAATCTGAATAATGCTATATATATTAGTGATTTAGCTATCTCCTTCTGAGAGAATACCTGAGTTTAACTGAGATCTTTACTACCTGAGCTCATATAACGAGGCAAAAAATGAAACTGAGCAATAAAAAGAAAGTAATCTTAGAGACAGAAGATTTGAGAGTTCTAATAATAACTTCTTATTGTATTTTGAGGTAAACCACTTAACCACTCTATTTCTGCTTTCCTGTCAAATAAGCTTATTATCAAATGTGAGCTAGATTGTCACCTGTGAAGACTTTACAGAGGGAACTCTTCTGTTCAAAAGATATTTTTTAAAAATTCTAGTTATCTATTACTCTAAGACTCTATAATCTTTTTTTTCCCAGGTTAGGCTCAAACTCACTGTGATCGATCCTCCTGCATCAGCCTCCCAAGAGCCGGGATTATAGGCATGTGCCACGACACCTGGCTTATAATCTTAAAAATACAACTTCCCCCAAATAAAATAAAGGTGACGAGCTTCAAGTACCTCTGGTGAAATTTAATTAAATGGACTTTCTTTGGGATAGCTTGAGATTAATCATATTTAAGCAACTTAAAATACCTAATTTTTCTAACCTAATGATTCTTTTTTTTTCTCCCCCTCTCTCTAGGAAATTTACCTTTATCTTGATCCAATGGTTCCTGGGAAAGAATAGTGCACAGTACCGGGTTTTTCCACACCCCAGCCTCTTGAGCTAGAGTAGCTAAAAATTGCAATTCACAGCTGCCATTCTCCATCAGCTTTTCATGAGCTACCTACAAATATTAAATAAACATCCAAAGAATTACAACAGATTTTAAAGCAGGCTTATTAGGTTTTAAATACTAAACTTTTGAAAAATATTTTAATCTTAAAAATGTTATGTCACATTACAAGTGCTGAGTTTCTTTTGATATTTAAGGATGGACCTCAAAGATAAAAAATAAAGCAATTGTTAAGTCTTAAATAAGTACACTTATAGAAATAACTCTATATAATTTTTATCAACACTTAAATGAAAAATAGTTTTTCTGGGAAGTCATCACAATATCCACAAGCATAAAAGACCTTTAAGATTTGCATCATATCCTAAGTGACAATGTACACAAATTTCAATAAAGGATTTATGAGAATAAAATAAAATCCATGATTTTTCATTTATTCACTACAGTGTCTTTATAATTTTACATTACAAGTGATACCAAACCTTATTTACTAATTGTTCCTGAGTGCTTCCACAAGGAAAATAAACTTGCTAGGCAGCTATAAACTAACCTTGGAGAAACACTAAAGAGAGAACAAAGTTGCACAGAAACTCTTAAAGCTGCATGTTATGTTTAAATAAAGACTATTCCTCAGCCATAAAAATCTTCCTATTTCAACAAAGTTTAAGTACTTTAAGTAATTTTCTACAAGCAGTAGTTGAAAGTACTTAAGTTTATTTCCTGGACCTTAGGTTGTAGCTGAGTGGCAGAGACCTTGCCTATAATGCATAAGGTTGGGTTTGATTTCAAGTATAGCCCAAAAAAGTTATTTCCTTATTAACCTATATAAAAAAAAAATCAACTAGTGTTTTTGTCTCAAAACTGAAAGTTTAAAAGTTTACCTTATGTTGCCAAACAAAATCAGTAAATTGTGGCGTTCGGTACTGCACTTGTGAATAAACAACATATGTATGAAAGTAATGAAAAGCTCTGAAATAATCATTTACTTAAAAATAAACATGGGGTGGGGGTACTAAACTAGAAATTGCAAGATCAAAAAGTTACAGTGTAACGGCAAGACAAGGCACTTTCAATTCAACAAACAGTTATTAATCATCTATGTTTAAGACACTATGTGGAATCCCATAGTGTTACATAAGATAAGTAATACCAAGAACACTGCACTAGATAAAGATTTTTAATGTTTAATATTAAAACAGAAAAGCTGGATATCTCTGCTTAACTAAAGCTCATTTCACATGTTTCTAAAATTTAAGACTAATCATCTTTAAAATATTTCTTACAGAGAAACTTAAGGCCAAGAAAATATTTTAAGAACGTCGGCTAGGGAAACAGAGAACTATACAATTTGAAACTAGCTAGGAGAAACGTACTTTTTGACTACCTAATTAATCAAAATTCACTTGAAGCAATAATATAGTTAGCATAATCTAGTGCTTGAAATAAAATTTAATGTTCTTAATATTCCATAACAACTACACACTAAACTGTGTTGTATCGGACATAAGTAGAATAACAGCAGTAAATAAAAGACAAAGCATGTTTTCAGATTTGGAGGAAAAGCATGGACTCTGAACAAAAAGCCCTGGTTCAAGCAACTACTCTATGATATGACCTATATCAGTTGGACCCAATAAATATTTTAGAGCATAAGCCTCAGTTTCCTCACCTTTAAAATAGGGAAAACATACCTAGCTCAACAAGTTTTCACAATCATTAAATAAGACACATTTTAGGGCCGGGTATTTAGCTCAGTGGTGCCACTGCCTGTCTAGAAAGGGCAAGGACCTGAGTTTGATTGCCCGTACCAAAAAAAAAGACACATTATCACTGCATTAAATAAGATATGTAATTGCTGCTGATTTTCAGCAATTAGTTAAGCTGTTTCTAAATCCAAATGAGGGCATTTTCTAGGAGGTTTTAGAATATTCAAGAAAAGAAATAACTACTCTTAACACCAGCTGTTTAAATTTCACTGAAGGTTTTGGTAAGGAATAATTAATAGACAATGAAAGCACTGATAAAACTGAAAGTTTCTATAAAATACGAAATATCTAAATTCAAATAAGGAATGAAAGATCAGTGTTAATGTTGGCCTTTTGTATTTTATATTTGTTTTAATGTTCAAACTGTAGATAAGATATTATTTATCAACATGCTTTTACAAAAGTAAATCTTAAAATACTAAGCTTGTTCATATGTTCTTGTGTTCTTTCAAATCACTACCAGAAATTACTTGTGTATTAAAAATTCCCTTAAATCCCCCCCCAAAACAAAACAAATGAGGGCATTTTCTCATTTTCCCTTACTGCTCTGGTAAAACACTAATTATCTGACCTTAAGGAACTGTTCAATATTCAGCCAATTTATCTTAATGTGTAAATTTGTTTATTAAGCATCTACTATTTAAATACAAGGCACTAGTGTTAATGGCAGCAGCAACTGATATTTGTCATTACTTACATGTTAGTCAAATAATTTTAAGAATAAGGAAATCTGAGCTAAGATATACTCATATTAAACCTAATAGGTAAATATTCTTACCTGTACCAGTGTCTGAAATTGCTCCCACTGTTTATCTGATAACTCAACAGGCAGACACAATAAAAGTTCAACACAACTTCTAAAAAAACGAAAAGTTGATAAGGATAAGAAAAATTATTAAAATTCAATGTAAAACAAAATCATTGATTTTAGTATCAGTAGATTCCACATAAACTATTTAAAATTAAATTATCATTATAACTTCAGACACGAAGTTTTTTTAAAAATCAGCTAAACATAGTTTATTTACTCAAAGGTCTACTCACAATGCCAAGCGTTCCAGAACCAATGCTACATTTTCACATTCAGTGGTAAGATAAGGTCGGGCTTTAACATAACTTTGGATAGCCACTGTGTATACCTCCAATAAAGGTAAGGGATCTTCTGAAGTTTTCCATTTCTCTGCATATTCAAGGAGTGTCTGTTTTGGAAGGAATAATAAAAAGTATTCAAAATGTAATCAAAACACACAGTGACTTCTACACGGAGAAATTCTGAAAAGTAACATTTTTTGTTTATAAAACAAAAGGTAGCTTATACTAATTATAATATTTAAAAAATAAAGTTCATTCATATTTCTGTAGGAAAAGATACTTTAATTCACCCAGCAACAGTATTATTTCATGAAGTTTAGTTTCAAATAGTGTGTCAGCTCCTTTCCCCCCAGTCAAAATGCCACTTTAACTCAATAACTGCTTATTAAAATGCAAAGGTTACTTTAAAAAGAAGTCACCTGGGCAAGGCATGCAGTAAAGAATATAAAAGAATATTTATATTCCCTATTTTTTGAATAGGGAGCAGAAATTTCAATACTTAGAAACAAATGAATTACATATGGTCACAAACATTTAATTTTTTAGGCCCATTTAAAAAAGTACATCATAGGGCTAGGGATTTAGCTCAGTGGTTCCGGCGCCTGCCTCACAAGTGCAAGGTGCAAAGTTCGATCCCCAGTACCATAAAAAAAAAGTACATCACAAATTATTTCTTGACAAATTCTGTCACTTAAAAAGTTATCTAGTGAGACCCTATCTCTAAAAACCAAAATAAAGTAAAATGAGTAAAAAGTTATCTAAAGACTTTCAATGTGTAAAACTGATATAAGGAATGATTATAAGGTCAAATAAATTTTTGTAATAGTGTTTTTTTAATTAAAAAAACATTCATCACCCTTCAATGAAGTAAATGTTTCTAATTCACTTCATCAGAATTACTAAAAAAAATGTTGCTTATCCTACTGAACACAGAGAAACAAGAAGAACCTGGGAACTGAAGATACACAGAAACATAAAGACTGTACATTCATAAAAATCTTGAGTTGGTATTTTTTTTATCTATAGTTATACTAAATGAAGTGGTTTTAGAATACGGCAGACTGCTATAATTGGTCCTTTTTCCACTTCAAGGTTTAAGAAGGATTTAATCATATACATGGAAAATATAGGCGGTTCCATAGTTAAAAAAACTAAGACTATCTTGAAAGGAAAATTAAAATCTCAAATCTCCATGAGAGCTTGTATCCTCTGGCATACAAAAACAACTATTTCTTTTTTAAGCGTGGAAGGAGGAAAAAAGGTGGGAATTATATTCTAATACCAAACACTCAAAATAGCTTCTTCTTGACTCTCTGTGAACTCCAACCTCTTCCTTTTCTTTCACCTTAAGAAGGGAGGGCAAATACTCATTACTACGATAATTACAGGAAAGAGAAAAGTTGCAGCCACAATGTGAGATGAAGAGTGGGGTAGGTCAGAGGACATGCAAATAGGTCCAAACCCAACCCCAAAGCAAAATCCCAGGAAAGTTAAAGCAAAAAACCCTCTTTCTCAGGCACTGGGGAGAGGGATATCCAAACCTTTCCCACACGAGCCTGGAAACCAATCTGCTTTCAGATCCATACTTTCATTTCACCTTATAGAACCACTATATTCAAAAGTGTCCTGGGACAACACAGACTATCTACAGTACAATTTATGAAGCAGTTCCATTCCGGGAGAACATTCTTAAGTCAAATACATTTGTAAGTCCATTCGACAAAGCTGAGTTTTATACACCCATGACACAAACACACAATGTATAGTATATTGCTTCGTGCTTCCTAGCATTCTCCTCCACATCACCACTGCTTTTCCTCTTGCTTCCAGACATTCTGGACTCTGACTTAGCACTGTACTACTACACACTATCACACTGTACAGTAAACACAGAACAGAACAACTGTGACAATGCCCTACAGATGCGTGAGCAACTTTCATGATCTGTTCACAACTAAGAATGTTTGTAATGCGAGGTTCTCTCGTATCTGTAAGTTTGCAACTTGAATGTTCTAAGTCGAGGACTTTACTGTACAGGGATAAAAAGAATGAGAAATAAATTCCTTAGTTTCAAGGAAATTTGAAATACCTAGAAAACCAAAGGTTAAACCCTTCCTAAACTGTTAATGAAGGGTAGGAATGGAGCTGTTGGAGGAGGAAGGAAGCAGTATTTCCATACTTAGTACTTTAAAGACATTCTCTAAGAGGGCCGGGGATTTAGCTCAGTGCTCAGTGGCACCTGGCTGCCTTGCAATGATTCCCAGTACCTGGAAGAAAAATAAAAAATAAAAAAAGAAGACACTCTCTAAAGGGGTGTGGGGGCTCTTAAAATGTAATTATAAATGAATGACATTGTAGCTGGTCAATATGGATAATGATTTGAGGGTGCTTGCCCCATTCTCAAGACAACTCAGGCTTCACTGTGAACAGAGAAATTAAAGCCTCATATTGGCCTTCTCCTGTCACTATTTTACATAATCCAAGCCACAGTCCTATAGAAGTTTTACTTTCTTCTGAATATCTCTTGAATAAAGAATAACACTACTAGAAGATGAAAGCATTCTCTTGCATGTGACTTTGACTAATACAATTATAAAGTAGGATTAATTCTGCTGGGAACAACATGAGCCAGAAAAGACTATACAAGAAAATATGGAATTCAATGATGCAACCATCCAACAAATGGCATGTTAAATTCATTATCAGTCTTTCAAGCTTGTGCCATGGGCATAATGGTGATTAATTTAAAAACCATGCTTTAGTTCCTAGCATAGAACTCCTAAGACCCTTGAAGCTGATGGATGAGTCTTTCTTCTATGTCAATTAGATGACTTTTGGCTGAGGACTGCCTAGACAAATTCAGGATAGGGCTAGTCACTAGAAAGAGATGCTATGATTACTACTGGAACTTTCAGACCCACTACATCAACTACTAGGGAAGGGTAAGGGGCTACAAACAGAATTCTCTAATGAAAACTCCGTTAAAACAAAACAACAGGGTTCAGAGAGCAGAACAAATTGTTCAGAACTGACAATCACATCCTTGTGCCAAAAGGGTAGGATATATCCTAACTGCATAGAAACAGGCTCTTGTACTTGGGGCTTTCAGACCTTGTTTGAATTACCTCTAGCTCTTCATCAGTACCATGTATATGTGTGTGTGTGTGTGTGTATATGTACACACACACATACACATATAGTTTTGGAGGCAGGGTCTCGCTATATAGTTCAGGCTGGCCTCAAATTTGTGATCCTTCAGACTTAGCCTCTCCAGGACTGGGATTACAGGTGTGCATGACTACACCTAGCTTGTATCTTTTAAATAAACTGTAATGGTAGGTTAGGCATTTTTCTCATTAGGTGAGTCATTCTAGCAAATTATTAAACTTGAAGAGGGGGTTTTGAGAGCCATCAACTTTGTAGCCAAGTCTGAAAAAAGTACAGGTAACTTGGGGCTTGGTATTCTCAACTAGAGGCTAAAATACGGGTAGCTAAGAAAGTGAGCCCTTGAGTCCATGAGTTCTAATGCTAACTCCAGGTAGTTAATTGTGGGTACTGAACTGTACCGACAATGATCTGGTGTTGGAGAGTTAAGAGAAGGAGTGTGCAAAATATACTATGTACGTGGTATTAGGAGTAAAAAAAGAGAAACCTATCAACAGGACATAAAAATCTGAATTAAACGAGTGTACGTGTAGTACCAGCTATGTGAAAAGTTGAGGCCAGGAGGATTGCTTGAGTCCAGAAGTTTGAGGACAGCCTGAGGAATACAATACCTTATCTCAAAATTAAATTAAAAAAAAAAATTAAACTATGAATTTAGAGGCTAGGGGTGCAGCTCAGTAGTGGAATGCATACTTAGCATGCATGAGGCTATGGGTTCAATCCTCAGCACCCAAAACATCAATTTTTAAAAAACTTAATTGGTCAGAAAAATAACTGATGTCATGGAACGTAGGAACCAGAAAACATTTAAAAAATTATCTTAAGTCATTTTATAATGAAGAAAGAGACAAAAGTACATATTGGTGACAAGGAGAACGTTTAAGTAGCTATTTTTAGGCCATTTAGAAATAACATATAGGGTTGGGGATGTGGCTCAGTGGCGCTGCGCCTGCCTGGTAAGCGCAAGGTCCTGAGTTTGATCCTTGGTACCGCAAAAAAAACCCAAAAAAACCCCAAAAAGACTAGAAATAATGTATATAGGGAGGTGGCAAAAGAAAGGATGATGACAGAATATGATGGTATGAGAAAGAAACCTAATGACATTTATTAGACATAGAACCACAAATCAGGTTAAAACGCAAATATTTATCATCTGTATAGTTTTAAGAGTTGTCATTCATAGTAAGTATAATGACAATAGAGCTTCTCTGGTTCTCAAAGCATTACGATCAGAAGAACACCTGTAAAATGGAAAGCATGCCACATGACTAGTTAATAAATTATGTTTTCCTCAATTTAAAAAAGTACTTATTTGTTTCTAATGTCTTAAATCTATACAGGACTTTCAGGTGGGAATCCAGGAATGATTATACTCAATTTACAGAGTTAGAAGACATTTTAAAGATCATTTAATTCTGCTTTATAGCATAATCATTAAAGGACCTCGTGACATGCACAATATTAACACAATAGATAAGCAGCAAAGGCAGGCAGCCTCATTCTCTGTGCAACATTTTTCCCACTACAAACAAGTGTCATTTGTAGTGATATAATAAAACTATAAATCTGTGGAGTTATTTTATAATTACAAATTGTCATTCAGCTATAATATTTCAGTTATTCCATACAACTCTTTTTTTTGTTGTTAAATTTTTATTGGTACATTTTAGGTATACAACACAATTACATTTCTCATTGGGAATTGTACCTTTACATGAGGCATCTTGGTTCTTATTTTTTCCCCATTCCTAGCCCTCCCTTCACGCCCTTCACCCTTCCCTATTTACAAAGACTTTATTTCCATTTTTTTCATTTCTCAGCATTTTTCCTTTCCCTTCTTTCCTTTCCCCTGCCCCTCCCACTACCCCTACCCCTTTCAACATTTCCTTCCTATTTTGCATTATCGATTATTCATAATAATCATCGGTACATTTTAGGTATA